ATACATAGTTTTAAGACGAGGTTTGATAAAGCTCATGGAGCAGGAAGAGAGAAGACCCAGCAGCAACCAGTGAAGAGGCAGAGCCAGGAGCTAAGACTCGACCCCTGCAACCACAAATAGGTGAGTACACATTCACACACGCACACACACACACACACGCACACGCACACGCACACGCACACGCACACGCACACACACACACACACACACACACGACACAGTGGGATAAGGAGAGGGAGAGGTCAATGTTTGTCTACGGGCTCCAAGAAGTTGAAGGGAAACCTATGATGAAAGAATCCAGGGGGAGAAGAAAGTGATCGAAGGTATCTTGAAAGCAATAGGAGAGAGACATGACCCAGGTGGCAAATTTTCAGAGAATTGGATGATTTGCACGCAGGAGACGGCCTGTCAGAGTAGTCTTCAAGGCAGAATCAACTCAGACCAGGGTCCTGCAGGAGAAAGCAAGACTGAGGGACAATTCAGAGTACCGGAGATTGTACCTTGATTTCAACAGAACATAGGAGGAAAGGATGAGACTGAGAGAGAGGGTACAAAAATGAGAGGAGGAACGGGAGGCATCGATGAGGATGAGCAGAACCCAGACTCAGGCGGAAGGACAAATACACCCTACAAAGACTCCCACAGAAGGACTCCAACCACAGCAACCCCAAAGCAACTGAACAACCTCAACCAAAACTTGCACATTGTTCCCTCTGCTCCCACCCCCACCACAAATGCCACCTCTACAGCAGCCCCTTTTGGGCAATCTGCCCCCATCCCCCCACCATAAACCCCGCCCACACTGTGAAAACCCCAATGCAGCTGAACAATCTTAACCAACACCAACACACTGTTCACCCTGCTCCCTCCCCCCATATCACAAACCCCACTGCCACAGCAGCTCCATACAGGCACTCGGCCCTCACCCCCCCCCACAAATCCCACCCACACCACAAACCCATATAACCCCCCAGGGCTCCCACCCCTCAACCCCAATATTCTCCCAGGCACTATGATAGAGAAGAAGCTGAAGGTGTGGTACACAAATGCAGATGGAATAGCAAATAAATAAGAGGAATGGCATGAAAGAATCAACGAGAAGTCCCCGGACATCATAGCAGTCACAGAAACGAAACTCACTGAGACAATAACAGATGCATATTTCCCACCGGGATACCAGATCCTGAGGAAAGAAGGAGCAGAGGATGAAGAGGGGTTGCACTGGTTATAAAAAACCGATGGAGTTTCGAGGAAATGGTGGGTATGGACGAGATTGGAGAAAGGGACTACATAGCAGGGACAATTCAATTTGGGGAACATAAGGTAGTCATTGCTGTGATGTATAACCCACCACAGAAATGCAGGAGGCCAAGAGAGGAATATGATGAGAACAACAGAGTGATGGTGGACACACTGGCTGAGATGGCACGAAGAGCTCAAATGTGCAGAGCAAAGTTACTGGTTATGGGTGATTTCAACCACAGGAAGATCGACTGCGAAAACCTTCTGACACATGGGGGCACCGAAACATGGAGAGCCAAGATGATGGATGTGGTACTGGAAAACCTCATGCATCAACACATATGGGACACTACCAGAGAGCAAGGGGAGGATGAACCAGCAAGACTGGACCTTGTGTTCACCCTGAGTAGGTCAGACATTGATGACATCACATGTGAGAGGCCCCTCGGAGCTAGTGACCACGTAGTCCTGAGTTTTGATTATAAAGTAGAGTTACAGGTGGAGAGGGTAACAGGAGTCGAATGGGAAAAGCCAAACTATAAAAGAGGGGACTGCACAAGTATGAGGAACTTTCTGCGGGAGGTGCAGTGGGACAGAGAAATGGTAAGAAAGACAGTAAATGAAATGATGGAGTATGTAACAACAAAATACAAGGAGGCAGTGGAAAGGTTTGTTCCCAAGGGCAACAGAAACAATGGGAAGACCAAAGCGAGTCCTTGGTTTACCCAAAGGTGCAGGGAGGCAAAAACTAAGAGCATTAAAGAATGGAAGAGGTATAGAAAGCAAATGACCCAGGAAAACAAGGAGATCAGTCGAAGAGCCAGAAACGAATATGCACAGATAAGAAGGGAGGCCCAGCTACAGTACGAAAATGACATAGCATCGAAAGAAAAGTCTGACCTGAAACTGTTGTTTAGCCACATTAGGAGAAAGACTACAGTCAAAGCCCAGATGATAAGGCTGAGGAAAGAAGGTGGGGAACAAACAAGAAACAATCAAGAGGTATGCGAGGAACTAAACAGGAGATTTAAGGAAGTTTTCACAGTGGAAACAGGAAGGACTCTGGTCAGACAGGGCAGAGGGGGACACCAACAGGGAATAGACCAATAGGTGCTGGACGATATGCACACAATTGAGGAGGAGGTGAAGAAGCTGCTAAGTGACCTTGATACCTCAAAGGCAATGTGACCGGTCAACATCTCCCTGTGGGTCCTCAGGGAGTGAGCAGATATACTGTGTGTGCCATTAACCACAATCTTCAACACATCCCTGGAAACTGGGCAACTACCTGAGGTATGGAAGACCGCAAATGTAGTTCCCATTTTTAAAAAAGGAGACAGAAAAGAGGCACTAAATTACAGACCTGTGTCACTAAACCTTTATAGTATGCAAAGTCATGGAGAAGATTATCAGGAGGAGAGTGGTGGAGCACCAGGAACGGAACAAGATTATAAACGATAACCAGCACGGATTCATGGAAGGCAAATCCTGTGTCACAAACCTTCTGGAGTTCTATGACAAAGCTACAGAAGTGCGACACAAGAGAGAGGGGTGGGTTGATTGCATTTTCTTGGACTGCAAGAAGGCCTTCGAGACAGTTCCTTACAAGAGACTAGTGCAGAAACTAGAGGATCAGACGCGTATAACAGGAAAGGAACTGCAATGGATCAGAGAATACCTCACAGGGAGGCAATAACACGTCGTGGTAGGTGATGAGGTATCACAATGGGCACCTGTGACGAGCGGGGTCCCACAAGGGTCGGTCCTAGGACCAGTGCTGCTTCTGGTATATGTGAATGACATGATGGAAGGGATAGACTCAGAGGTGTCCCTGTTTGCAGATGATGTGAAGTTAATGAGGAGAATTAAATCAGATGAGGACCAGGCAGGATTTCAAAGAGACCTGGACAGGCTGGACACGTGGTCTAGCAACTGGCTTCTTGAATTCAACCCTGCCAAATGCAAAGTCATGAAGATCAGAGAAGGGCAAAGAAGACCTCAGAGTATTGACTAGGTGGCTAAGGACTGCATAACACCGAGGATGTCTCCGGAGGCACACATCAACCAGATGACTGCTGCAGCATAAGGGCGCCTGGCAAACCTGAGAATAGCGTTCCGATACCTTAGTAAGGAATCGTTCCAGACACTGTACACTGTGTACATCAGGCCCATACTGGAGTATGCAGCTCCAGTTTGGAACCCACACCTGGTCAAACACGTCAAGAAATTAGAGAAAGTGCAAAGGTTTGCAACAAGGCTAGTTCCGGAACTCAGGGGTATGTCCTACGAAGAAAGGTTGAGGGAAATCGGACTGACGGCATTGGAGGACAGGCGGGCCAGGGAAGACATGATAACGGCATACAAAATGCTGCGTGGAATAGATAAGGTAGACAGGGACAGGTTGTTCCAGGGAGGGGACACATAAACAAAGGGTCACAATTGGAAGCTGAAGATTCAGACGAGTCATAGAGATGTTAGGAAGTATTTCTTCAGTCATATAGTCGTCAGCAAGTGGAATAGCCTAACAAGTGATGTAGTGGAGGCAGGAACCATACATAGCTTTAAGACGAGGTATGACAAAACTCTGGAAGCAGAGTGAGAGAGGACCTAGTAGCGATCAGTGAAGAGGCGGGGCCAGGAGCTTGGACTCGACCCCTGCAACCTCAACTAGGTGAGTACACACACACACACACACACACACACACACACACACACACACACACACACACACACACACACATCCTGAATCTAATTCAAATTTTTAGAAACACCAACGAGATCAGTTTCCTACAATAACAAGCACAAAAAGGTAGACGCTGCTCAGAAGTTACGTTACGATTTGTTTTACGTGGAAGCGTTGTAAGTAATCAGATACAACACCCAGAAAAACAGTATTTAAATTTTCTCAATTTCCTCCGTAGCAAAAATTCCTGCAATTGTTTTTTTTTGACCAGCTTAAAAAACAGTAATGACAGTATATACGAAAGTAAAATTTTGTTGATCAGAAGAGACATTCTCCAATTTTTTTACAGAAACTTGACCGATTAATAAAACTGGCACAGGAAAACTTACCCAACCTAATATCAAGCAAATGCTTCCGTTAAAGAAAATACACAAGCACTAAAAATTTTGGAGGGACTACAAGATGCATTCTTCTAATTATTGGAAGGAATCCAACAAAATTCGTGTCTACAGAGCTTAAACTCATTGAAACGTTTCATCCATTTCATACACTTTAGCTAAGTTTTCGTTGTAGATTTTATGGACGAGACACAAATAAAGAAAATGTAAAAAGTCATTATATCTGTCGGTTATTATTATATATATCTTAGTTATTATAAATTGTGATAGATCATTTCAATAAACTCTGGTTATTTCTGCACTCACAAAACACCTGTACAGACTAAAAGCTCTTGTCCTAATTCAGCTCAATTGAAAGCCAAGCCCTCGCCATTGTATACCCCCCCCCCCTCCCAAGGTGCGACTCACAACAGTCGACTAACACCCACGTAGCTACTAACTGCTACGTGTACAGGGGAGCAGGTTAAAGGAAATATGCTGAATATAGCAAAGTAGCACAAGATACTCATTGCCATTACTATTGAATACCAGTTTATTGTATACATTTTTTACTCAGTTCTGTGTGGAACTTCTTGAGCTAAATACGTGTTGCAAAGACATTTTCTGAAATCAGTTTGTATGTTAAAGAATTTTAATTTTTTTTATAAGGTGACAATAAGTATCTGATTTTGTAACAGATGGGCCGATGTGCGCGCAGGAGCGAGTGACTGTGACGGCAGTGGAGGGGGAGGTAGTGACGCTGCAGTGTACCGTGGACGCATACCCAACTAACGTCACCTTCTACTGGCTTTTTAACAACACGGTCGACTCCACACGCTTCAGGCCCGGTGAGGTGAGACGCCAGTCATAAGGATTGTAATAATTCTACTTCCAGATTGATAGTTTAGATGATACAGTACTTCAAGTCCAGACGCCTCTAACCCATTATTAAACGCTTGTGTGTGCTAAGGAGGACCTCAGTTGGAGGTGGAAATATACAGAATAATCAATTATCTACGTTTCTGTCTGTGTGTGGGGTTCATACTAGTCATCTTCCAGAATGTTTAATATTAACAGCACTAGAGTAACATTACTCCAAAATTAATGATACCTTTTTTATGAAAGTTTTACATAGGTAGAACACTGTTGGTATTTGTCTGTGTAACGTTGTCACCCTCTCTGTGTTCATTTATCACTGACAGAAGGCAATAGCCAGTTGTGTGAGAGTTAACATGTCACCAGTTTCACCAATACTCACAAATTTTAAAAGTAAATATCTAAACTGTTTTAAACGTTACCAAAACATACGATAAACCTCAAGAGGGTTATTAGTTAGAGAAGTTAGAAAATGATATCAAACATCTCTATCATTATTTATATATAATTAAGAAGTATGAAGAAGATACAGAATACAGTCTACCCATCCCACCTTTAAGTATTTGTCCTATAAAATATTTTTTTGTAGTTTACAGTAACATGAATAAGTAGTCTCTCATATAATTGTGTTGTCGCGCGGTGGCTACTGTATAAGTAGTCTCTCATATATTTGTGTTGTCGCGCGGTGGCTACTGTATAAGTAGTCTCTCATATAATTGTGTTGTCGCGCGGTGGCTACTGTATAAGTAGTCTCTCATATATTTGTGTTGTCGCGCGGTGGCTACTGTATAAGTAGTCTCTCATATATTTGTGTTGTCGCGCGGTGGCTACTGTATAAGCCCAGATGCATGTACTTCCATGAACGCAACTGGAACAGTGCAGAGTGCGGCATGTGATTGTAATTCAGTTACACATTTGCGAAGATCTGAAGTGATTCAGAAGAGACATTTACAAATCATCACACTGAAATTAATTTCCCACTTTTTGTAATTAAAAATCACATATTATGATATACAATGCCTAAACATAATTCCGAGTTTTCCAAGGAACCAAAGAGACCAATATACTAACATACACAAGCAAAATGGTAAAATATATTGCAAATCACATCTGACGATTAATAGAACCATCATTCATCAATATTGTGTGAAAAAATCATGACACTCCTATTATTACTCTTTGAAAAAAAATAAAACAAATGTCAATAACTTATTCCTGAGTTATTCATAGTTTTGTTTTTATAAAACTCTATGGACATGGCGCGCCAAATATGAGCGTGTTGCAAACCCCTATCATTGTTTATAACCCAGAGTGAGCGTGTTGCAAACCCCTATCATTGTTGATAAGCCAGAGTGAGCGTGTAGCAAACCCCTATCATTGTTGATAAGCCAGAGTGAGCGTGTTGCAAACCCCTATCATTGTTTATAGCCCAGAGTGAGCGTGTTGCAAACCCCTATCATTGTTGACAACCCAGAGTGAGCGTGTTGCAAACCCCTATCATTGTTTATAACCCAGAGTGAGCGTGTTGCAAACCCCTATCATTGTTGATAAGCCAGAGTGAGCGTGTTGCAAACCCCTATCATTGTTGATAAGCCAGAGTGAGCGTGTTGCAAACCCCTATCATTGTTTATAGCCCAGAGTGAGCGTGTTGCAAACCCCTATCATTGTTGATAACCCAGAGTGAGCGTGTTGCAAACCCCTATCATTGTTGATAAGCCAGAGTGAGTGTGTTGCAAACCCCTATCATTGTTGATAACCCAGAGTGAGCGTGTTGCAAACCCCTATCATTGTTGATAACCCAGAGTGAGCGTGTTGCAAACCCCTATCATTGCTGATAACCCAGAGTGAGCGTGTTGCAAACCCCTATCATTGTTGACAACCCAGAGTGAGCGTGTTGCAAACCCCTATCATTGTTGACAACCCAGAGTGAGCGTGTTGCAAACCCATATCATTGTTGACAACCCAGAGTGAGCGTGTTGCAAACCCCTATCATTGTTGACAACCCAGAGTGAGCGTATTGCAAACCCCTATCATTGTTGACAACCCAGAGTGAGCGTGTTGCAAACCCCTATCATTGTTGACAACCCAGAGTGAGCGTGTTGCAAACCCCTATCATTGTTGACAACCCAGAGTGAGCGTGTTGCAAACCCCTATCATTGTTGACAACCCAGAGTGAGCGTGTTGCAAACCCCTATCATTGTTGACAACCCAGAGTGAGCGTATTGCAAACCCCTATCATTGTTGACAACCCAGAGTGAGCGTGTTGCAAACTCCTATCATTGTTGATAACCCAGAGTGAGCGTGTTGCAAACCCCTATCATTGTTGACAACCCAGAGTGAGCGTGTTGCAAACCCCTATCATTGTTGATAACCCAGAGTGAGCGTGTTGCAAACCCCTATCATTGTTGACAACCCAGAGTGAGCGTGTTGCAAACCCCTATCATTGTTGACAACCCAGAGTGAGCGTGTTGCAAACC